CAACCAGAATTTCCATGAAAAGAAAATTCCCAGAATACTTTAGAACATCTAAACAAAAATAATTTCAGAAAAGCAAATGTCACACACAAACATCAAGAAGGCAGAGAAACCAACAAATAGGTGATCAGCTCTAAAACAGAGGTTTAAGCCAGCAAACTGTGTGTCCTATTAAACCATATGCACAAATACAGCGGTGTTCTAGTCCATAGCACAATTCCACTTAGGAACAGAATTGTAATTTAGTGAAGGACTCCAGTTCAAATGCCTGGGAAAGAGAAAGTACAAAATGTTCTGTACAGCTCAAAAATAAAATATATTCTAACTACCCAGAGATTAAAATTCCCCAAAGGGAACTTCTTGGCAGAAAATGGCCATGGTATAAAGTGGCCAAAGTTATTTAAAGAGTGACTTCCCATCTTTGAATTCACCCACTGGATAAAATAATATTAAATCACTCTTTAATAATTCAGGGACCATCATTTCTCTTTGCTCTAGCACAGAGCTTGATCACATGAAGAGCTCCCTAGGTGTAACCTCAAAAAGGATGAAAGCCTAATTTGATTATTACAGAAATAACTCTAGATGTTTAAAGGAAGCTTAGGTAATCCTTGAAAATGCCTATACGCAGCTTCCTGGCATATTTAAATGGAGTCATTTTAATATTGCCAACCTCCTCATAAGTTACTTTACAGTTGTTCTTTCAGCACTTCAAATCCAGAGAGGAAAGAGATGACTTAAGAAAATAACAATATTTCAATAGTTGACACATTGAAATTTATGGTGTCCAAGTGAATAGGTATTTGTATTAATTTTAGAGAATTTTACTAATTACATATCTAGATATAAATTCTAATTTCAAATGCCCTGTGTGGTGGTTCATGGAACAATTTATGTCTTTGCTCAGCAGACAAGAAATGCTTTATTTATTGTTGTTGTACTATTAACCTGAAAGGTAAATATTATTCTGCCCTGAATTTGGTGTCTACCACTTGCTATTTCCCGTTAAAATGCATCTAAATGGGCTGGAGAGAGACCGATGGTTAAGAGCACTGACAGAGCTTGCAGAGGCCTGTTTGGTTTTTGGCACCCACATCGTGGCCAATAATCGTCCTTAACTCCAGTTCTAGGGAATTTGACACAGGCATTGCACACATGGGTGCATATTTACATACATGTAGGCAAAACACATGCACATAAAATAAAAAGTAACACATGAAATTTTTAAGATGCAAGTAAAGAATGTATTAGCTTCATCCCAAAGTAAAAGCTATTATCAGGTAAAGCTGATATGCAGAAGAATCTTCCAGATCAAATAGAGATGTGTGAACTGGCAAGATGAAGCAACCACACTATTGGCTCTCTTCCTTCCCAAATTATCCAACCACCTCAAAGAGGCAAGAGTTCCAATGCTATGTCGAATGCTGATTGACCATGAAAATTATTTATGGGAAAAATTCAAATGGAAATAAGATCAAATTGCAATTAAAGTCAAAATAAAATGGAGCCTAAAAGTACAGAAAGAATTGCTAATGAATTAAATTCTATTTCAGGAGTAAGTGGGGAACTGGTCCTCATTAATTTGTAAAACAAAGAAAATAACCATTGATATAAATGCAGAAAGTAATATTTTACCTGACAGGTAAAGCATTAATTCTCAACCATTAGTGAGTTCACAATGTTTCTATGTGTGAAAGATAACAAGAAACAGGAATCTGCACAGCCACTTGGCAAACAACTGTCGCTATCTCATCACATACTCATTCTGTGCTGAGAAAAAAATACCATTACCTTCTTATACTTATGAATTGTTTCAGCTCAACTTCAGCCCTAAAAATAATAATTCAGAAGAGCCAGAAGGAAGCTAGAGCCAAGACAGTTGACTAGCCCCAAATTCTAAGCAGTGTCTGTCCTGTTGAGAAACCTTACTCAGGTTGCTAAGCCCCCTGTGCTCTGAACTCCACTCTGTGCTATCATGAGGCCATTAAGTCATCCTGCCTGCCATGAAGATGGAGCCGACAGCACAGTTACTGGAGTCAGTTTTAAAAGGCCCAGGGTGGTTGAAGGAAAGGATTAGGAGGCCTGGGGTGCTGAAAGGTCACCCCAGCTCTAGCTCCCAGAGATCCCAGCAGCACACAGCTGTCGGGAGCACAGAGCTGCACTTAGAGAAAGCCTTTGGGGGGGAAGTAGGGCCTTTGCTGTAAGAATGTCAACAATTTCATCAGGCATATTTTGCCTTCCCACCTTTAATTGTACTGTTAACAGGATTTAGACAGGAGAGAGTTTGTGAATCCATCACATAGCCAGGACATTTCTGGAATTAAGGTACTATAATCTGGTGATCAATACATTATGGAAATTATTGTTTTTAAAATGTGATTTCTCATGAAACCTGGATTGCTGCTGTGAATCTTCCCAGAGGCCTTTTGTCTAGAAGGAAAGTTCTATTAACATAAAATGAAATAGAGACAAATTCCTTGGTTTCTATTTTGCTAAAAAGAAGAAGAGAGAGAAAACACCAATATAGGAGTTGAATCTATAACAACATTAGTGGACAGGAAGAACCGTCTTCTAGAAAGTGTGAGGAGCGTTCCATAAACTCTCCAAAGTGCCAGGGATATCACCACTACTTGTGTTATTATGGGTAACATGTTTGTCTGGCTGCTGTTCAGCAAGGGCCCTTGTCCAGGACCGCAGTCACTCACTCTTCACCTGCAGAATCCCTGGTGGCTTCATTCTCCCTTTCGTATTGTGGGAGGTATTTTATGATCGGTACTACTAAGAACAATGATACCTGTTTCCCTCTGTGGGCGTTGGGTGGCAGATGAGAGAGCAAGGACTCAATAGGCACATCCCAGGGTCCTCACTGAACAGACACTATTTTATTTCCACAGTCTTGTAAATAGGCATATCCTTATTTTGAACTTGATGTAATAGAGACTCCAAAAGTTTAAATATTTTGTTAAGAAACAGAAGAGCTGTGATTCAACCTGCCAAACTCTTCACCACTTCTCCATATTGCTCCCTGGTTGTTTCTATCACAGAAGGAACTGGCCAAGGACCATGAAAATGTCTCTACCTTTACCTCTCTACCTCTATCTCTAGTGTACCATTAATTGTGATACACAACTCAGTGAGAGCCAGAGAGGTCCCTGATTACAGTTAAGTTCAGAAGTCAACTGGAGAAAATCGGAATGAATTAGAATTGTCTTTGAGTCCACTTCACATGTTTTACAGGCGAGGAGAATGCATTTCCACGACACTTGGTGTTCTTTCGGAGCCTACAAAGCTCTTAGTAGCTGAGCCTGAACCCTGTCCCAACTTCCAGCTCAGAGCTGAACATATGGAAATCTACTATATGAACAAATTAATATTTTTTTCTGGATCTTACAAATGAAATCACTGTTCCATTCTTACAACGAATAAAAATACTTAAATTTGTTTTGTATATCACTTAATCAAAATATTTTATTTCTGAAGGCTTCAAAGGGCCTGTTTTGCAAGGTGAAGAGTTCTGGGAATACTGACTTTTCCCATTATGACTATACATATGATGAACAACTAAGAAATCGTTGCAACTATGAAAAGAAAAGAAAAAGATAACATGCAGGGACCAAATGCAAACATCCATTCATAAATGTAAACCAGTTCAATCAACCAGCGTTTGCACAGAGCAGAGTTACTCACATCTAGTCACCTGAGGAGAAGCACATCCAAGCTGATTAGCATTTATTTCTGAGAACCTTCCTCAAAGAACAGTTTTCTTTATGTCCTATAGTTGGAGTTCTTCTGAAATACACAAGACGAGGACTTTCCCCTGTTTTCAGGGGGAGTATATTGCCACTCAGTATAAATTAATAATAAACGGGGTACCATTTTCTTAACCATAGCATTAGAAAATATACTTCAGATGCCTCATGGTCTGTTTTGGAGCTCTTTGTTTAGCGCTGACCAGAAGCCGGGGCTGAAATCACAGATCTTTATTTCTCATAGGACACACACTATTTGGAATGGATGTGATGAAATAGTTCCATGCAAATTCCTACAAGCACTCATGTCTTTACCTTTGTCCTCCTTAGGGACGTTGCACTACCTGTTGTATATTATAAAGAAAAGCTTTGTGATCTTAAAATTTGCCTTCCAATACCTGTATGCTTTCTGGTAATTATGTGATTGGTAACTGAATGAAACATTATGGTTATGGTAGAAAATATTTTAAAGAAAACCACAGAAAACACAGTAGATTGACAACATAAATTATTATCATTTGGTCTCAAGTGAGTTCTCCTGCTAATCGCTAGTAATAATAATAAAAACCAATGATGAAATATTCAGAGAAAAAACAAACAAATCTATCAATCTTATGGGATATTCAAAACTGACAAAAGAAAACATGGAACATGCAAAGATCCTTGGAACATTTTTATTACTAGAGAACTGAATGTTTTTTTTAATGTTACTATTGGTGATCCCTTCCCTCTGTGCTAACAGATTTTGAAAAAAGCTGATAATGCCTTTGAAGCTGTCAAACACCTCTGTGTTGTCACTCGCTATATATTTGGCCTCTCCAAAGCTGCTAAATAAAACACTAAAGTACAGGAACGATCCTTCCAATTTCACTATACATTCATGTTTTTAAAAACACTGGACACACTGGACATTAAATAGGCGGTGTACAGTCATGAAATCCATTAAGTTAGCTTCATGTCAATAAGACAGATGTTCTCTCAGTACAATGAATCCTAAACATCTGCATGTTTCACAAACACAAGATCCTTAATACCCAGTCTGTATTGTAAGTCACCATTTCTACACAGAAGCTATTTCCTTTGAAAGATAAAGGAAGAGTAAGCAGTTTACACGTAAATGATGCCTTTAGTTCTTGTAATTTACATTTAAGCATTAGGCTAAAGATGGCAGCTTGGAGATGATTTTAAAATGAGAAAAAATGACCTGGCAGCTAGATTCTACAGTGCAGATAATTAAATGTCTTGTCAGCTTACCTGATAGAGAGCCCTAGGAATCACAGCATAACAAAGCCCAGCATCCAAGATGGTTAGAATGTACGGTGCACCCCCTGCGGTTCTTCAGATTTGGGCCACAGGCATTTGTAAATTAAATATAATTTTTCTTGCTTTCTCTGTGGACATGAAAACAAAGAGACCTTTCCAGAATTCTCTCTGCTTATGCCTCCGCTTCCTGTTCTGAGATTCACTCTATGGTACCCAACATATATCAGAAAACGGCCCTGAAAAAAAAAAAAAAAAAAAAAAAATCAGCTGGCTGGACTCAAAGTGTTATCGCCATCTACTGGCAGACACAAGCAATTACGCAAATGACAAGACTTTCCCATTATCCCCATGTCTCTGGAAGGGAGGAGGTAAACCTGTATGGAAACATTGTGAATCATCGAGAGGCCCAAGATGACAGCAGTGAGGTGGTGGAAGGAAGAATTTCCAAGACACACAGGGTAACCTAGATCCTATAAGAGTGTGCACAGACAGCCTTTTGTATATTTTGTTATTGGCACCTCATTTTTTCCCTAAATTTAGAAGTTGTTTGATTAGAAATTATAAATGTTTTAAAAACCTAGAAATTTCTGTTCAAAGTTAGATTTTTAGATTACCTTGTTCCTTCTACATGGAGTTTCCAAAACATCCTCTTGGGTCTACTCTGGTCTTCCCACACCATTTTCTCTTTGTGAGATGAGTTGTTTTCAAAGTGAGTAACCTGACTCCTTAGAGAAGAGTGTAATACATATCCAGGGGTTGTCCTTTCATGTTGTTTTCACCTAAAACACAAGAAATAAATCCGAATTTGGAAAACATTCTGTATCTCAGTGACGTTTAGCAAATTTAGAACACTGGATTATTTAGATGTTTGTATGAAACCAGAAATGTTTGAAATTCATCTTAAAGAAGATAATTCAATGGCATTTGAGGTATTTGAGGTATTTCAGGTAGCAGTCAAAAAGTACCTGTTCCTTCAATGAAGGCCCTGGCTCTGTCCCCAGTACCAAGAAAAAGCTGGGCATGCTGGTGGGTCTGTAACCCCAACTCTAAGGGAACAGAGACAGGGTATATCCTTGGCCCTCACTAGCTGAATCAGACTCCAGGTTCGGCGAGACACCCTGTTTTAAGAAATAAGGTGGTAACAGATCACGGAAGACAACCAACATCAACCTTTTGTCTATATGTGTGTGTACACAACCATATACACACGCACACCCTAAGAATGCAAGCGCATACCCACAGGAACACGTATATATACACCACATATATTAAATAAATAAATAAATAAATAAATGATTAAAAATTAAAAAGGGGCTGGAGAGATGGCTCAGTGGTTAAGAACACTGGCTGTTCTTGCAGAAGACCTGGGCTCGAATCCCAGCACCCACATAGCAGCTAACAACTGTCCATAACTCCAGTTCCAGGGGATCCTGCAGCCTCTTCTGTCCTCTGTGGGCATTGCATGACATGAGCGCACTTACACACATGCAAGCAATACACACATACACATAAAAATAATAAATAAAATATTTTTAAAAAATAAATAAAAATTAAAAAGGTAATTCAAATTAGTGGTTGTATATTTCAACTTGTAAGTCTTCAAACATTTAAGCAAGCCACTGTTCATCAGGATTTCGAGGCACAGTATATAATCAAAGTAAAAATAACTTCTCTAAGTTAAGGGATTTCTCAAAGTGCTATTTTTCTTTTGACTTTTCCTGTTTAGATCAAACAATTATAATTCCTTGGCATTTACCATTACTTGATGTGCTGGATAGCTTCAGTGTCAGCTTGACACACCTGGGCTGAGGGAGCCTCAATCAGGGAACTGCCTCTATTGGACTGGCCTGTGGCCATGTCTGAGGGGCATCTTCTTGATGAGTGATGTGGGAGGGCC